GGGGGGGGGGGGGCAGCGCGCTTCGCCAACGCCACACGGAGTCTCAGGCGATCACCCATCCAAGTACTATCCGTGCCCAGAAATGGGAAAATCTAACCAGCGTCGTCGAATTAATCAACTCCGCCGTCTTTCCACGACTGATTTCACATGACCAGCGTATCGAAATATAGCACTCACAAATGATATTTAGATCCGGGATCAATTTGTTAAGGAAATGCGAGTTTTCCCGCACGCGGGGAATGATCCATCGGAGGAACTTGAAGCTAAACGACACAAACTATTGGCCCACCACGTGAGGTGCTATTACTGCGGTAAACACGGGCATAAACTCGTGGAGTGCACGAGGAGGATGCGTAGCCAACAGCGGAAGGGTACACAACGCCAGGAAGGGAGCCGACCAGCCACATCGTCCCAGGTGGTTTGCTTCCAGTGTCATGCGGAGGGCCATATCGCACCTGATTGTCCGCTACGACAAGACAGAAAACCCGGCCTCAAGAACAAACGTCCAGTCTACTCCAGCGTGGTGGAGTCTCCAGCTGGTAGTTTGTCATCTGGATACACCCGAGGACGCGTGATTGTCAGGATGGCCGTGTCGGAGATGAAAGCACAGCGGGACTTTCCGTCTGGAATGTTGGGAAAAACCCAATACCCTAGTCCAGACTTTTACTATAGCTACAATAAAGAATAAAAAATAAGAAATAGTTTTAATGTTCCAATCTGGCTTTATGACGATGGGTTCGGGCTCGAGGTGACATAGCGGGTCACTAGACGTAGCCACGGTCACGGAAGGGACATGTACCTTCTTTCTTTTTGCTTGGAGTTCTTGCAGATAAGTTACTTGTACGTGGAGTCATGCGTCACAGGTTAACGAACCTGAAGCCATTGTCACTAGCTTCGCGAGTGGCTAATCGCCGTGATTAACTGTCAAGATCGTAACAACCCCATTATTGCAATAAATTACACCTGTGTTGTACCGCATCAATGGCTAATTCCCGCGAAGATACATCTGACGCCCACAACCTTACTCCCAGTGGTAATCCGACATATATAATATATATATATATATACATATGTAAAACATTCAATACATTTAATACATTTTGACCATTATAGCAGAATCAGTACGTTTTTACCTGATATGTCGAAACAACGAAAATCTTTAGCTGATCCTTATTAACGATATTTTGATCCATATTTAATGTTTACGTTTCTCAATCTGAATTTTTCACATTAATTCATTTTGCTTTGTTCAATTTTCCTCGTGTTGTTAGTACAATAAAACATTTACGCTTATAAAAATCACAACTTCTTTTCTCTTCTATACTTGCCTTGCTTTCAATTCCTTTAGTAATGCCAATTTAAAAATAATTCCAACTTTTATATTTTACCCTAAAATATCTGTTAAATGGTATATTATCCTTCAGAACTTTTGTTAACGCAATACAAAATGACTATACTAACAGAACTTTTACAACAGAATTAAAATGTCAAGGTATAAAGTTAACGTAGAGCAGAAAAAAATTATTGAAAAGTTGAAAGTCAGAGAACAACTTTTATCTAGAAAAGTTAACTGCTTCATTCAAATCCCTGCTAGGAACACATATTTTAATCACTCTCAGATCCAGATAATGAACAGATGCTCTTAACTCAGATAACACCGTAGGATCAATTTTCATCCATTGATCTTCTATTGTTGCTTTTTTATTTACAGATACCAATAAATTTTGGCTATTGTTTATATCGATATCTATTAGTAGTGTATGGTCACTTGAAATAAAATCAGCGGCGAAAGTTTATTGAAATAGACTGTTTAAATATAGTATCGATGTAAGCCGATGACAATTCCATGCTTTTTTTACGTGACTTTTGCAACAAGCGACGTAATCCGGTAAAAAGCTAGCTTTTAGTCTATCGTACTATCGTTATCGTCTAACTATAGTTATCGTTTGATAAAACATCCTTTTCAAAAATCAGATCTGATAAATTTAAATTCAAAATTTCCATTTGAAATAGGTACATATATTTTACGTAATCGAATGGTGCTCATGAAACGTCATTTTTTCAAATCAAACTTTAACTGCACGTAAATGCTGTGGAAGTCAATTTCCAATTCATTCGAGGTACTTTCTCAGTATTATTCAGTTTCGTTATTACAGGTTTGTAAGGATCACCAACTTTAAGATAAAGAATTTCTTACAGTGCAGCTGTTATAATTTTCCCCATTTACAGTTTTTTTGTGTTAAAGACCTGACTGAGTGATATAGAGAAAGTGCCAAAGCTTTCCTATGTACTAGGTTTGTTTCTAGCAACTTTCATGTTCTTCTTTCCATTCCGAACTTCTGTAACAGGATCATACGAACATAGCGACTATCTATGATGACCAATAATGACCTTTTGATGTGTATAAATCTCTCTAACGTTCAATGTACGTCATTTATAACAAATTTCTTCATCCATAATACTGTTGATATTTAACGGTATGAGAAAATTTCATGATCAGTAATATTGCTTGCTAAATTGAAGTTTTAGAGAAACAACGTTCCATTTGCATTATATTGATACCTGCAATAATTTTCAAGCGTCCGAATATTTATGCAAAAGTTTGGAAATGACACTCATATAGTATACGTATCGTACTCTGAGACATTGTCAAAATGCGACATTGTTTCAGATCGAAAAATTCAAAGGATGGAATGAATGCGTGAAAAATTTCGAAGCACGCATAAAAGTCGCGGTTCGTAAATATTCGCAACGCGTCTCGTAAATATTCCATGGAAATTTCGTCGAGACACCTATATACGAGTAACAATGTCTCTCTTGAGATAGGAATCGGTATCCAATTAATAGGCGCGTTATCGAGCGATACCTGCGAGAATAGATCGAAAGTCGTCGTTGCATCGCGAATTTCTCCGGTGAAATTAATCACCTCGCATCGTTCGTCTGACTCTGCACCCTCTTTTGCCATGCCACTGCTTTTTTTCTGTTCTTTGTGTCGTTTCTTTCGACGATGCCTCTCTCAAGTTTCGAACGTCACATGTACAGTACAGTACAGATTTTTATCCACCGATAAGAAAACAAGAAAAACAACGCACATATAATACGCAAAAATATATTATATATAAAATATCGAAAATATTGGGTTGTTTGAAAAATTCCTAGCGCTTTTGACATTTTCACATTTTACATAATAAGTAATTTTATGTTCTACAGTTTGATGTATTTATTGTATTCTATATGTTACATATATTTATCAGATATAAAGAATATTATCTAACAAATAAAATTACGTAATTTTGCAAAATACTGTTTGACAAACAGTTTTTCTAATTGGACGTCAGAAATGTGTCAATTACAGATATCTTTCTGTAGCAATTTTTCTGAGTAATAAAAACAGTGTCATTTTCAGCAAGGAAGAAATATGTTATTTCCATGAAAAATAGGCGAAAGTATTCATTGGGAATTTACCCCATTTTATTCATATCTTGACATTTTCAAAATATTTTTTACATCACAAAAAAGATCATAAAGCTACCCAGAAAAATAGCAAAATATTATCGAAATTCTGTAATGAAAGCACAATATCTTTAAAATTTTCTTAAATTTCGTTATAAACTTTCCAAACAGCCTAATAAAATACTTCTTATGATATTTAATACGTGAAACAGTTCTCTGCCTATAGTTTCGTTTCCTTAATTATATTCATAAAAATATGAATTTTGTGTAAATATCAACAGCCTGTACATGATCATTTCCGCCTCTTTTTTTTTTTATATGGTTTGCTTTGATGTTTACTCGATTTTTCTCTCTTCTCTTTCTCTTTCTACCTTTTTCAGAAGCGTTTTTTTACTCGTCGATGTCATATCAAGCCTTGACATTATTAATTAATGTAGGACCTAGGGGACGACTTCCAATGAACTTCGAGTGGCAACGCCGCCGTCGCGACGGATTCACGTTTCTTCGTTAGGTACGAAGCGTGTATAGTAATTAATGACATGTTTCGCCGACTCATCGCGTTCTTTTTATTCGTTTTCTCTGCGACCTTTTCCTACCGTCGAGTGTATATAGAAAATATGAGCCGTTTCGTTAAGCTCTGTACATGCATTCGTTTCCATAGATTTTCAAATGTTTTATGCTTTTTCAAATTTAAAAGTGTCGTAGACATTGAGGGAAATCCTTCAATGCTATTTGGAAATATCGATTTTCTCACTTAATTTATGCGTTTTTCTTTCTTAATGAGAAAAGTTGCTGATATCTTCAAACCTTTATATTTCTATCTTGGTCCGATTAGCAATCAAATAAGGTTCGTAATGTTTTAAGAAAATGTTTAACATCAAATTGAAACGGGAAATCGTGCGTGTTAGTAAAACCTATTTTTTACATGTTTCTCAATCTTGATATGTTCGTTAACGTTAGAAAAATGCGATTGAGTAAAAAATGGTTGAGAAAGTTCAGTTGCATTGATTATATAATTATTATAAAGTATTGATTATTGGAATTTACAGCGGCCATAAAATGTATTGGCACGTCATTGTATTTATTATAACGTTTGATATACTGATTAATTAAACCCAAGTATATTAAATATCATTTAGCAATACTTTCATACGAGTACATTTGTTTCATATTATGAAAATGAAATGTATAACTACTGTAGCCATTGTAATGTGTATCGTATGCTTTTCAAATTATGTTTAAGTATATTAAAACAGAAAATAATTTATTTCCAATTTTTTTTATTTATTCTTGCGTAAAAGAAATTACTTATTTAGATGCCTGTATCTATAATTCATTTTATTGGAATTGTACGAAGCAGATTTGCAGGATCGAGGTTAATTAATAATACATTACGAATAAGCTTCTAGCAGATGTAAAACAAGACCTTGTTAAATCTTAACAAGCACATTCGAATGAGATCTTCAACGAAGCACTAAAACACGTATATATATCTTAGCAATGTGGATATATTGTTATATTCCTTAAAATGAAGAAAAATTCTATTCCCAATTAAAATACGGACCGAAAAAGCTAAAATTTCATAGGTAGTCTAGTTTTTATTTGTTATATATTTAATTAATCGCACCATACATTTCATTAATTTTGAAAGAAAAGGAAGAAATATATAATGAACAACAACGCGTAAAATTTTGTCTGGAAAGAGAGACAATTATTACATTTTTGGAATATAAATTAAACTGAAATCATAAAAGTTATACAAGTTTTATTATATATCGGGTTTAAGATTTTATCCATTAATTCCTTCTGCCTCTTATCTAATTAATTTCTTTCAGTCCCTTTCATGAACATTACATTTCGTATACTGTAATAATCTTTTCATTATGCTGCAATCGTACTAATTCTGAACTAAACTTTTAATAATTACAAAACGAATGATGTCAAAATTTCATGCTTTGAGAATTTATGTTATTTCATTTCATTAATTTTTATATATACACATATTTCAATATTGAACAAATTTTTGTATAAAAATTTATGAACAAATTTATCAGAATGTATTGTACAATCTACAGTTACCAACTTTTTTTTCTGAAACTGTTTATCATGCGAAAAAAATAGTAGAATATAACAGATGCGTCGTGTCTGAATCTACAACTTTTTGCTATAATCAATAGCAAGAGGATAATCAGATTAGAAGATAATCGAATACAATCGTGTATGTATCGATTATATAATTATTTAAGTATTAATTTTAATATTTAAGAACCCAAGGGCACCATTTTCTCGAGTTCAATCGAGTTCAAATGTTACGCAGATTAATTTTGTATTAGTTGAAACTATTCGGGGAAGGAGGTGGCAGGAAACAAACCTTAAAAAAGATTGTTAGGTGTAAATAAGAGAATATTAGATTTTATTCGGTAAAATATTAAAAGAATGTGTATCATTCTAAAGTATTTATAAAACTCTTGTTCGTAATTTATTAGTTTTTATAAATATGAAATTCTCCTTTTTCTTTACGGTTTTGTCATAACGAATATACACCAAAATCTTTCCTCCTTTTGTTGTCCATTATTAATGTTAATGAAAATGAACTATTACATTTCGTTAATCAGACGCAGCTTGTAGTTACTGTTACCTAATCTTTACCGATCACTTGAAAAATTAGTCGCAGTATCGCCTTTTACATAAAATCAGCGGAGTGTGTTTACACTTTTGCTTGTCACTGTATATATATGTAAATTCTATAGACTTTAGAAGACCAACCGACGGTTTGACTTTTCTTGCCTTTACTGGGAGTCGGCCGAACGATATAAATAGAGAAGGACAAGTACTTAGGAGGGAGAATAAAACAGGATTTCGAGAAGCGAAGATGGAGAACAAAGAAAAAGAAAAGCACGTTAAGAGTTAGAAGGAGAAAGAGAAGAGGGATTAGAAGCGGAGATTTTAGGAGATACGGAAGAAGACTTTAGAAAATCGATTCTTGAGTTTTCTCGAATCGACTGCCTGATTTCCAAAAATATTACAACATTACATATGTATGTATATCTAAAACCTTGTTTGCATTAGGAAATTTTTGGAAGAACGATTGAGTCGATGAACCTTAATTAGGTTATTCGAATTTGCACATGTAAATACAGTTTCAATGAAGTTGGAATAGCTTTTAGTCGTTCAATCAAAAATAGCCTTAAATGGCGCGGTGGGGCGCGACATTTTGTGACAAATGACTATAGTCGCGCATAGTGCATACATATATGAATAACATTTCATAGAGAGCCGCTATAGTCGTCCGTCGTAACGAAAGGATTAGGTCGAATAGTACAACAAATTGAATACATTCGATACATTTTGACCTTATATATCGAAACAATAATAATCCTTATTTAACGATATTTTGACGCATTTTTAATGTTTGCATTACCCAATCTAATTTTTTCACATCAATTGCAGGCTGTCTTTCCTCCTAATCTAGCTTCTACAAAATATTACAAACAACTTTTACCACATTGCGTCAAAATCTAAAGTTTCCTGAAAAAGAACAGACCGGAATTTGACGTTGATTTATGTTTTGCTTTAGTGCATAAATATATCTCTTTGTAATAAAAAAAAAACTGACAAAATATCGATCACGTTGCGTTCACTTAACTTCAAGTTTTAAATCGAAATCTAATAAACATTTAACAGCATTTTTTGTCACTAAATTTTGAACAATTTTACACGTTTCTGAAATCAATTATTTCATATAGAACGACGTAGCAGTATCAAAATTTTAATTACTATAACTTCTTCAACATCCCCGTAAAAAAGCTGCAACTGAAAAAGACATATCTGCCTCTAACAACGTATATTCGTACTAACTACCTTATCCAACTGTCGCGGCGTCGTGTCGCACAAGGATAACATGGCATACAATCATACGAGACTGAACGTATGAATTTTCTCTTTCCGTTCCAGATACCATCGTACGACCCGAACTCTCATTGTCTGTGCGTCGCCGGTGAAGTATATTGTTGGTGGCAGAATTACAATCCGAACACCGATCCTTCCGCCGGCCCCTCGTTCCTCCCATCGACGACGATAGAAAGTAATTACACGCCGTCGCTGGAGGGAAGCACGGATGCCGTCGACAGTTTGGAAGCTTCCGGTGATCCGGCGGAGGAGCCTTCTGTCGAGCAACAGGGATACGCGGAGATTAACGCGACCTACTCGACTACCTCGCAGCCAGTACCAACTACGTGTCTCGTGATGGGTAATAGATCAGTCGTAGTTTGTTTCAACTCGGTTCTTTACACAGCCGCAAACTATCGACTAGATATTCGAAGCAAATAGAATTACAGTGTAATTAGTTTCGCATCGTATGGACGGTTTTTCACGAGGAAGTACAACGAATACAGAAAATATTAGCACGCCATTGTATTTAGTGTAGCATTTACAAACGAGTTAAGTTTAAATTTCGTATCATTCAATGGCACCTTCAATACGACTACAAAAATTTGATACCATGAAAGTGAAATATAAACATTAATGAAAAAAGGAGAAATAACGATTCGTTGGAAAATAGGGATACGCATAAATACTTTTTTGTAGTCACCGTAGGTAAGAGAATAATTATTTGTTTTGATTTGTATTATTTGTTTCGTAGAAAAGTTGCGCAGATGTATAAATATTCCGGATTCAAGGAAGTGAGAGAAAGAAAGCAGAGGATTAGACGATACTTGTATGGAAGCATTAAACCGTATATGTATAACGCCTAATTTTTCTAGTCCGCACGAAACAAATTGTGTACTCAAAATTGTATTTATCGGGTATCTTCATAGTTAACAAAAAATTACAAGAATTCAAAAGTTCAAACATTATATTGAAGCTAACGGTACAAAAATGTTGTTTCTTTTTTGTATAGAATGTACCTTATTGCCCCTGTTACTAACAACGATAATACTGAAAATCATCGAGTTCTTCAAATCCGCAGCCAATTATCGTAGAACTAATCCACGTCTTATACAGGGTGGTTGGTAACTGGTAGTACAAGCGGAAATGGGGTGATTCTACGCGAAAAAGAAGTCGAAAATATAGAGTAAAAATTTTTCGTTTGAGGCTTTGTTTTCGAGAAAATCAACTTTGAACTTTCGCTCGGTACGCGTTATAGCGGATCTCACTGTAGATCGTTGTCTCGATGGAAAAATTAAAAAAAATTTTTTATTCTATATTTTCGACTTCTTTTTTCTCGTAGAATCACCCCCTTACCGCCTTTTTCGACTTCTTTTTTCGCGTAGAATCACCCCCTTACCGCTTGTACCGCTAGTTACCAACCACCCTGTATAATAATAAAGAGATTAAATTGGTATCAATATGCTAGACCAGAGATTGTGGTCCGCGGACCTCCAGGAGGCCACGAAGTCCTTACACGGACGATTTATATTATCGCATTATTCGAATAAAAAGTATTTATTATTTATTGCATGTATAGGGTGTATAGAAGGTAGATCCAAAAACCACTGTAGCATGATTCCACATCGTGGATCCGTGGAAATTTGGAAATTTGGAAATTTGGATCGGTACAAAATTGACCTTGAGCATGACTTTTACAGTCAAAATTTTTTTACTGCAATGTATTTTGCTCATCACTAGGAACAACAGTCTCAAAGGAACCATGGATATTAAATAACCCCTTCTTCAAGAAAAAGATGTTTATTTATGCGGTCTCGACCTGCATTTAAACATCGCGATATTAATTCTTGATCACCGAATCGTTAACACAGTCGCTGAAAATCGCAGTGTCACGGAATGCTTTCTGCACGCAGAGATCTTCCACTATTCTTGTATCCCGATATATTTAACGAGCTAATCTGTGATGTCCTGCTGCTTCGTAAATAGCACGCCATTTCCTCATTAAATACGAATATAGATGTAAATATATTGTGAATGAAACCAGTTTAAGAATTATTAAAACTTTAACACTTTTTCTGGAAGATGAGATCGTTTGGTTAGCGTAGTTCCTTTGAGACTTTCGTTCCTCGTAACGAGCGAAATACGTTGAAATAAAAAATATTTAGCATCGAAAATCATAGTCAAGATCAACTTTGCACAACTTCTTTTTACAAATCTTCGCTTATCCAGGTGTGTAGAGTCATGCCACGGTGTACAATGTACAAAAGTTATACAATAATAAAAGATTTACACTGTGTATAGTTCTCGCTTAACAGTTTGAATGGTCCTTCGGCTTTACATCTTTCTCTTATCTTCTCTCAGCCTCTCTCACATTCTCACCCTCTTACGCTTATCTACGCTTTCACTCACATCCTTACTCTCCGCCTATAGATTATTGCAATACATACATATATTTCTACATTTACATATCACATAACACATATCGTTCTCCTTATACTCTTCTAATACTCTCTTGAACCATTGCATAATAAACAATAAGAATCGAGAATTGAAAGCGTAGAGTCGTCTGGTATTTTCAAGCAACTTGTAGGTAGGCCAAGAGAAAAATCCAAGAGAAATGTAAAATACTGTGTCCGGACGGACACGATATTCTGATTACAGGAAGGGAATACCGTGAGGGCGAGGTACTTCCGCATTCGACCGGAAACTGCATTGAATGCAGCTGCGGATCCGAGGGCCGTGTCGAGTGTTCGCCACGGGACTGCGTGGCCCTTCGACCCGAGATACCAGTTGCACCAGATATACCGGACGCACCAGATGGCGATTTCGAAGTTTTCAATCTTGCCAGGGATCGGGGAATCGACGAGAGCTTCTAAAAAATCCGATAATAACGATTGTCGCCTGCTCCATGAGATCTTCGAACGCGTGACTCGTGAGAGACTCGACTTTCGTGTAATCGCGGTCTTCGACGAGTTTCGCCTTTACCTATTAAGCTTTTCTTTTCTATTCGGAATTTGTTGATCGATATGAATTATACGTGAAAGTCAAACAATGTTAATCATTACGTTAACGTTAAAATGAATTATTTAAATTTGTGTGGTTTTTCTGATTTTGAAAATGGCGAATGAAGAGTTAGTATTGTATACATACGTGAATCATAGTTTAATTTTCGTAAAAGTGGGTCAGGATTCTAAGAGAAATAATGAATTCCTTAAATAAGTAATCATCTTATCTGTAATATTATCTTTTTATAGTATCGAAACTATAGTGGATTAATCACGCTTAAAAAGTAAAATTATAACTGTCGTATTCTTATTTCTCGCAAAGCTTGTTTCGTTCAAATGGCAAAGCATGCTCCAAACTTTCGAGCAGGAGTATACGAATGTGTTTTGTAGCATGTAAAATTTATTGATGATTTATGAATAATTTGTAACGATACGATTGCAACAATTGGGAATATAGCGAAAAATAAGATTGGTTATTTTGTACTATGATTCATACTAATTCCATTTGAGAATTAATTTAAAATAGATAAAACCTTAAATATTAGATTTTATTAAAAATTTATTCTACTAGAAATATAACGATACATTAATGATAGGAAGTATTAAAAGCGATACTAGTAGTTATTTATGTTATTTATAATATAATTTAGTAGTAATAATTGTAGAAATAATTTTTTTATAAACTTTGAGGAACATATTGGTATACATGTTAACCGTAAATAATTAATGTATTGTAGAGTGAAAATTGAATGCAATTTCTCGCACGATTATTTTCGTATCGATCAACAATATGTTGATACATATCTGTACGATCATTGCGTTTCAAATACCAGTTTACGCAATCCTCCAGTTTAACGATCCTCCAACCGTATGGAATGATTTTCTTATTAAAAATATTTATCTATGGGTCGAGATCCAGGTTTTTAACAAACGGAAAGAATTATCAAAGTATTTTTTACGCATCTCACAACATATTAAAAGTCACATGATTTTAACGAGAAAAATATTCTCGACCGGGAAGTGATTACACGGTTGAAGGATCTGTAAGTACTAATTAGTTTAATTTATATATCTTCTTATCCGTGTTCTCTCAAGCCTTAAGCTTTTCTCCTTTTGTTTGAAACGCGATTCCGGTTGAAAGAGTTCTACGAAAGAGAAAAAGAAAACTCTGAAAAATCGATTACCGATAATGAAACAAAAGGAACCTTAACTACTTTCTTTTCACATACCTGAATAATTAAACGAGACAGGAATTAGATATATATAATTATGTATGAGAAAAGTAAAGAATACTTAACTTCAAAGAAAAATATATTATTGCAAATTACAACGATGATTAAAGAGAGAGCAAGGTTCAATTTCAACGTCGTCGAGTTATCGTCGTAATGATCAGTAGCTTGAATCGACCCAGGCCAAGCCAAATAATATATTTATGTTCAATTTAGTGATTTAATGAGATCGATAGACAGCTTTAAGCCAGGACGTTATTCCAACATTTACGAGCCAACTGTAATTTATTACCCCCAGGACTTCTAAACGTTTCACTAGCGTGGGCCTAATTTATCAAACGGTGGATCTTAGAAACGATCCATCTAGATACCAATTAATTACGAACAAATTTTATCTAATCGTAGTGCGTTTGCAAATTGCATTTCTTTATCAGGATTAATATTGTTACCATTTTTACCATCCACTACAACTTACTATTACCTAAGAAACGTTAACGAATCTTGAGAAAATGTTCCTCACGCAAGAACCTCCAGCGCCACGAAAGTACCAAACGATAGATTAATAGCGATTAAGTACTCGTTCCTTAAGAGAACTCACATTCCTGATACTTCCTTTTTATTTCTAACATTTGAATTCTTCGAATAACTTAAACTAGTCCCAGAAGAAAAACTCCGTTTTGAACAAAATGCTCCGTTTATTCATCTTGCGTTTCATAATCCTCTTTCATCGATGGAAAAAGTGGAGATTTGCGCACCAGGATAGATCCTCGAGCGGTACAATTTTTCTATAAGACGACCTACCGACGATCTATCCTCATACCGACGAATCGTCGCCACGATCGTCACTAAGTATCGTGATTAAGTGAGAACTCTCGGCCAATTTGGCCACACATTTTCTATGTAGACACCCGTAGATGTTAGAACGCAAGTTTGAACGATAGGTCCCGCGCGCTTCAGTTCTCTGAATGAGGGATCGTTGTAGTTCTCTCGTCTGTTGTACGGTATTTTGTACGCGTTACGAGAATGGAAGCGATTACTTCCCACCATGTTAACGATAAACAAAACTATATAATTCTGTAGACGTCGGCCTACAACGTACGAATTAATAAGTCGGGTATGAGAAAACCGGCCTGTTCGGTCTCGGAATCGAGTACCCGTTTTAAGAGAAGAAGCGTTACAGAGCTTGGATAGTTCTGGATCTTTGTCATAAGATCGTAAATGATACTCGTGTCATTCATATCTTTCGTCATATTCTAGTCGAGACGTAGCCATATCCTGTTCACGGTCGGTACGTTCGGCCTTGTAGCTTGGATCGTAGGGACGGCAATGCCTTGCTACTCCTACTACGAAGAAAGCACGACCTGTACGAGACGTTGAGAAAGCTTATTGAACAAACTCGATTGGCTTGTGGCTCGCAAGCCGGCAATCTGGTGAAACGATCTTTGCACGAGCTGATCTATCTAGCCTCTACTGTGTATAAAATATTGTTCCAGTTGTGCTTTTTGCTTCTGTTTCGGTGATATTGGAAATTGGATATCGGCGAGAAATCACGTTCCGTGTTTGTTTAGCAAGGTGAACAATTTCAAATCGCTAATAAAAATCTGAAATCGAAGAACTTATTAAAGATCTCGATAATACTTGATTGTAAAATTTGGTTTTTTGCTTGTTTTATCGTAGATCTGAATTAATGAAAAAGACATTCTTTTTTATTGAATAAACTTGAATTATTTTAGAGATTTCTTGAAATTCTAAATTTAAATTCGTTACTCATTTATGTTTACAACCTATAAGAATATTCTATTAAACAAGCGAATATTTTTTGTTTTACAAAAATATTTTATACATTTCACACAGTTCTACTGCAAAACGAATAACGACTTTTAATTTAATTAAGAAATAATTTTCTATCAATTTACTGGCAGAAATAATCATAAATATATATAAATAATCGTAACAGTCGAAATTAAAAAATTATTAATATTATTTAATTTTATACGTATTCGAAACATATGCTCAATTAATATTAAATTTTAATTCATGGGGCAAAAATGCAAAGTTCGTTTCAATCAGATCGAACATCTCGTACATTTGCATCATATCATGAATGAATAAACTATCAGCGAGAAAATACCAGAGTTTTAAGACGAATCGATTAGCATAGTAAACGATTTAATGTAAGAATTAACTAACGAATGTCTAAATAACAGAAGCATAGAATGGGAGTGAGTTCTCGAGGATAGCTGACATTCCTAATCTCACGTGCAGATTAATCACTTACGATACGTACATTAGTAAAACCACGTTGTAAGGTGAAGAAAGAAGATTTTTCGTAGAACGATGTTTCTGCTACATATGGAGCGATAAAAAAAATATTTAATAAAAATCGGTAGCGTAATTCGCCGGTTGAATTTAGTATTAAATAGCCTCCTAATCTATATATATATACATATATACAAATATGTATTCCTTTTAATGACAGAGACAAAATGGAATTCTGTGTTGTATGGATCAACATGCACAATTAATTGATTTAATACATACATATAAATATTATATATTCATATATATATATATTATATATACATGTACACGTACTTATGCATACACGAGGAACCAAATATCAAGAGATAATTATTGTACGTAACTATGCATATAATATATGTATACATATAAATTATACATATATAGGAGTAGGATACCCAAGCGTTTTCAATTGCTGTGCACCTTTTGTAGATATGAATTCGTCTCTTCGTTTCACAGTACGTTTTCTTCTGTGTAATTCCGGTGTTTCAGTAGTCCAGTCACAATCAAATTACAATAGAGTTATTTTGAGAAAAAAATAATTCCGCATTCTGCTAATATAAATGTAATATTGGGAGATAGATGGACCACCTGTTTCGAATGCTTCTCGTTTATTCTTTTAGAAAGTTGATGGTATGTATACATTTTTGCTGTGATTATATTATACGTGTACGTTATTTTTAATTATATGTAATAGAGATTCAAATTGGAAACTATGGTAAGAAGAATATTGTAGAGCAAAAAAATAAAAGAATATCATGTCATCCAAAAATTATTTGCAACTCGTTGAAAGATGAATTCTCTATAATTAATATGTATATGTATGTACATTAGTCATAAGTTTAATATTATTTCATTTCTATTACAAACTTTAGTAGATTTCTTCCATGTTACTATTATATATTTTACTTGATGAATTGTAAGCAATAATGGTGGCAATCATGTGTACTATATACGTTTGGCAATGAAAGGAATAAAATGAATAGAGGCAAGGAAATAATTATCAGGATAAACATATCATATAATAATATTATCCTAAAACCTAAAACATGATCCATCTATCTTCAAGCACGTTGTCACAGATACGTTTGATTATACAGAGAATCTATCTCAGCGTACAAATAGTTAACGATCTTATGGTAGCACCGATTATCATGCAGAATCAAATAGGAAAAGCAAAGGGTTGTAATTAGACTTTTACGATGACTAGTTAATTGTTCATAGTTAGTCGCATAGTTAGGTAGAGATCCAATGTGATACATACATTCAAAAGGTAACTTTGTCTAAAAGTTTTACTATACATATAGGAAGAAGATACGACATCTTATCGCAAGATTTGCCGTAAACTTCTACGAGCGTTCGTTCAATTAGATGTACCTAAACCATAGAAAATCAAGCAACGTTCCGAACGTTATCGTCGGGTTCGCTTTTTGCAATGATTCGAGTTTATTGTCGTACACATTAATGGCATTTTCTTTGACGAACCAGCGTAATCGCATCATCATAACACGGCCTGTACTGATATTACCTTTAACGATAATCGAAATAGAAAACAGGATGATCTCGAATGTTTTGTGACCACTGTGGAATAACGAATCGAGACTACTATTTTTTAACTGCGCCACTTTTCGAGGGAATCGTGAACAATCTGTGTATTATCGTTCTAGAACAATCTATCCCCTGGAAATTCAAACATGAGATTGCATTAAAGAGAAAACAAAAAAAATGGAAAACGAATGGGAAAAGTAAGTAGGATCATCACGAGATCACGCGGGACCATCATGGCAGTTCGTTTTTCTCGTACGTCTTCCAATCATTCCATAAACCGTTGTGTCTGTCTTGTATCCGTGGGATCGCCTGTCTTCTTAAAAACGGTTGTACGCTAAATAAAGGAAGATCTTACGGTATGTCGATTTTTTTTCGATTTTCACTCTATCCTTATATTATCTATATTATATATGTGTAATATACGTCATGGTTCTCAATCCGTGTAAAGTCAGGGAAATTCTGTGACCCGAGATAATATGGAAATGAAGAATAACAATATTACGTGGAGTTTTCGTTTTTGAGAAAATAAAACTTGAAAGCGTGTCAAGTACATATGTATACGAGATTGATTCTCGACTGGACAGAAGTAAACAATTGGTAGGAGATTATTCAACATGCGAAAATAAATAAAGAATGTAGAACATTTTTTTTGCCTGAAATCTCGTTTTCGAGAAAGTCAAATTTGAAAATTTGTCAAATACACATATACCAGGCTAATCTTTTATTCAATATGTTCAAATCGTATTTTCTCGAAAACGAAAACTTAAATGAAAAAGTGTTATTCTACATTTTCCCACTTTTGGCTTATTTTTGCATAGAATAATTTCCCGTATTACACATCTATTTACCTAAATACACTAGGCAAGTTTCCTGACTCAATAATCCTAAAGATCACCTCCGATGTAACAGTTATTCTATTATTACGTATTATTTTGGTATATAGTAGAATAAGTCGTAGAATCTTTTTGACTTCATTTCTACCGCAAATCTAAGCACACAGTTTATAATATATTTACGTTATTACGATGTTTTAGTTATATATACAGGGTGGTTGGTAACTGGCGGTACAAGCGGAAAGGGGGTGATTCTACGCGAAAAAAGAAGTCGAAAATATAGATTAAAAATTTAAAAAAAAATTTTTTTTTTTTTTTAATTTTTTCCATCGAGACAACGATCTACAGTGAGATCCGTTATAACGTACCGCACGCGTACCGAGCGAAAATTCAAAGTCGATTTTCTCGGAAACAAAGCCTCAAACGAAAAATTTTTATTCTATATTTCCGACTCCTTTTTTCGCGTAGAATCACTCCCTTTCCGCTTGTACCACCAATTACCAACCACCCTGTATATCACGTCAACAGTCAATGGTTTTTCCATTATTAGATTGTTTCGCAGAGCTGTGCTTTTAGATAATTACTTTATAGAATTGAGATAAATCATTTGACATTGTTATATTAATTTATTTTATTAGTACTGTCTCCAGAAAAAATAAAATAAAGAATAAGGTAAGATAAACAAATAAGATAAAAATAAGATAAACAGATTTGTTATATCAAATAAAGCATTACACTAAAATTAGATATTTACGATACGTTCAATTCAAAAATATATATGTCGTATATTATTACAATATCACAAGAATATTCATGAGGCAAATTGTTTAAAGTTAATAACATATTAGTGTCGCGCCTTCTATACACATGACATGTGTCGAGGCATCTCGTAACTCTCAAAAGTCATCGGGCTACTGATATTCATAATCTTAAACTTGGCAATGACAACTGAGTTAAGACGTAACGAATTCTAATAATGATCATGGAAATAAGGATGATCATCGCAGATGAGTCATCTGCAGTAAATGTGAAGGATGAAAGCCACAGTATTTACACTACTTCACTGGTTGAATTCACTTCACCAATTTGAAATATTACAGGCTTAATTAAGGGTTAAAATTTGAAGTAAATTGAACTAAATAATAATATAATTCTAATGTAATATAATAATAAAAAATAAAATAATTAATAACATAAGCAATAACATAATTTTCAAACGTAGATATTATAGAAATAAATTATTATTCGCGAAAATACTGATTTATAACAATAAATGTAATTTTAACAATAACCCTCAATGGATAAAAAATACAAAAAAATTAATTCCTATTTTCAGTTTTTAAATAACGTTGCACAAGCAAACAAATGTTACCAACCATTTCCTACGTTTTTGGATAATTTCAAATTATAAAAGGGAAAAGTCTCTCTAATTGTATAGTTGCATAGATAACATGACCTTTTCCACAAGTTGTAGTTTTCGCACAGTCAATGCAGAAACTGCACGTGGAGCTTTCACACAGCCCGCTGCGTTCAAGCCATCTAACTGCTCGCAGCGAAAATGAAAGAATTTTACAAATCTTTTTGTGTGTTTTATGGGCATTCAACCAATAAGAAAAGAAGTTCGCGCATAATATAAGTCATAAACTGTAGAACAACGCTCGTTGCATTTAGTTTAGCGCAGACCAGTTTTTGAAAATAAAGCCCATCTTGGAACCAATCGATCGTAGAAAAACGTCTTTTTCTTGAAATTACGTGGAATGATTCCAGAAATCGATGAAAGCAAGTTCCACGACGATAGAATGTAAATTGCAAAAGTTACTGCATTTAATAACAAAGTAAAAATAATTATCACTGTATTTTAGCTATGCCTTTGAACGAAAGCATTTTTTTACACTTGCATATCTATACTATAAGTCTTCTACATAGCGTAGAAGCTCGGAGCATAAACTAAGATAAACTCACATATTTTTCTTAGAAATTAAAAATTTTCCGCTTTGTAAATTGATTAATTCATTTTACAGAAACTAACAAACGAATCGATTTGAAATTTGGTTTCCTATTTTGATATGACTGATACCATAAAGCCTCAATATTGTATGACAACTTTAACTAACGTCATAAACGATTTAAGAAAAAAGTCTTTGCACTATTTGCTAATGTACAACGTAAAAATTAAGCTTATCGTTACGTAACGAGTTTCATTTTATAGATAATTTTATTATATACAATTTCCTACTGACACTTTTTCACGTATGATAAATAATTTTTAAGATATAGAGGAAATGTAAGACAAACTCGCGTTTTTTTTTTATTTAATCGATATGATGTTTATAAAGTTATAAAGTTGCTTGTTTTGTAGGTTAGATTATATTATCTACATAACGTAGATATAAGATAGATATATAAGATAAACAGATCTATATAGATATATACGATATAGATTAAATTATATAGATAATATAATCTATATCGTTCCGAATCATATGATACAAAATCGTTTCTACTAAGAATTTGTTTCTGACACAATCAGATTATATTCGATTATATTATACAATCAGAATTATCATATCAGTTTATTTCGAATAGAATATTCGTAGGAGGGCCATTCCTCTCCGTGATAGTGAACAGATAGTTTTGTATCGAGTCAGAGACCAGTTGAGCATCTTAGGAGTAACGATAGTGAAATGCAATTCAAATTGTATAATTGAGAAATATTATAAACCGTTGTAAAACGTATATTACTTACAGATTATCCAAAGTGAAAAGGTGTAAATTTGGCTTTATGTCAGAGTTTCGGTTCACGATAAGGATCCCGATATTCTTCTTATTGATTCTTAGAAAACATACACGTGTGACGATAGTTCGACCTGATGATGCTGCACGACGGATGTAGAATGATAAGAAATAAGGACAGCTTCTTTTCATTCCTGGTTAGTATCACGCACAACACCGAACAAAGATCAGCTATATTCTTTTTAATAGAACCATCCATTTTTAACACGTTAACCAATCTGTTATAGCATTTCTCATAAAAGGAGGATAGTAACCTATTTATGTCGAGAAACTATTAATATCGAACAAAAAAACTTTGGAAAAACTGAACAACATAAATAAAATAATTAAATTTTGGGTTTTTGTCATTTTTTATCATTATAGTATTAACTATTTATATTAAAGGTATTATAAATTATAATATTATATACTATTATAGTATCATTATTATATATTATAATTACATAATATTATATAGTATTATAAGTTAATAGTGCTATATATTAAGACGTCCTTATATTATATTATGTATAAGGAACTTTATAAGGACCTTTATTCTAATATTAATGTAATTTGGGCACAAGATTTCACACTGCACTTCTCTCTTTTTTTGACAACTGAGTCCTAGGCCATTATACAACGCTATATACATACTATGGAGGGGATACATACTTGTGTATGTTTTTGCTCTACGTATTCACTCTCGCACGTACAAATGTACCATATATACAACAACAACAAACCGCTCGTCTGATGCCGGTCTTAGTTTGAAAAACCTGACTACGGATTGGGAAAGGTGATAAATGATAAACCTTTTGGCAAAAGGACTGATATCGAGTCAAACAGTTCAGTACTTCCCTCAGAATCTTGGCGATACATTGTATGTCTCATGAAGCATGCGACTTGGTGCCGCGAGACCAAGCACCGATTGTCAATTTTTCGTAACTGGACATAGACACATAGCTATCTCGTAACTATACTACTATTATCAGTACCAGAAATACGTTGGGTTGCTGTCGATCGTTCGGTTTGAAGAGAACGCTTTGTATATAGTAAGTACCTATACTAATAAATTACATGTACGTCTTTAACATTATTATTTTGCATAGTGTTCTCCCTATAATATGCATTAATATATAATATAAAATTTAAAATTCATTTCTGGTGACTTGAAGAACATAAGTATAGTTTGTATGACTTGTGTATGGCTGTGCATTACGATATTTGAAAATTAATTAACAACAGTAATTAATTTAACTTTTTGGTATTATCGTAATAATAAATGATTATTCTTAGGAACAGAATTACTTTGTGCATGCACATACCTTAAAGTACTAAAAGTTAAATTACAACAAGATATGTAATGGATTAACAGTATACGATAATTAAAGAGAATGTCATTTTTTATAAATTACGAAAAATTTACTTATATCTGAACTAAGAAATGTTATAAATATCATAAGAAGGGAAGCAGGAGAAATAAAATTGAAAGAGAGAATGAGAAAGAGTAACAGATGCTTTTCAGTAACGCTGACGTATACTAATTTGATATCTTAGACGTAAAGGTTAGGTGTTAAATTCTAAGCGAATCTAATGAAATATTTAATTAAATATAACGTGTTAAAGTATTTACTTAGTTATGTTTATTCCAAATTGTTTGTTTCGATATAATTTTTGCAATATATTAAAGAATATATACTTCTGTAAATAGGAATATTTCTTTTAAAGTTGGAACAATCATATAAATATTGATATACGCGCATTATAAATTCATAATTTTATTTCTTATATTTTGTTTCAGATAGAGAAATGAACACTTTTTTGCTCATTAGCAGTTGGTAGATAATAGTGTTAAATCATGAGACATAAATTGATATGCTAGTTCCGTTTGCTGTGAACACTATCAATGTAGTGAATGCTCTGCATGATTACAACTCTTCCGGTGATGTAAATAAGAAGGAAAACCTTTGTTTGAGTTAATGGATTAAAAACTATTTGAAAGTGGTCTGTAGAACAGTATAAATCACAGAGATGGCAACCGAAGTTACAGAGTCACAACCTTTCAAAAACTTAAAAGAATTATTTGATAACTTGGGTAATTTAAGACCATGGCCAGGAATTAAAGAATTAAGAGATTCAACCGATTACGTGTACAGTGGTTTAGAAATAAGCGCAGAAAAAAAGGAGTTAGAAAAATTGGATAGAGAAGTACAACCGAGAACATTGCTTTGTCATGATATGAAAGGCGGTTACCTAGAAGACAGGTAATATTTATAGAAACCACTATATTTATTAATTCGTATATTATACATAATATACCCGTGATTTTTCAGATTTATAAATGGATCAGAAGCTTATGGTTCTTACCTATTTTATCATTGGAGTGTTATCGACACATTTGTGTATTTTAGTCATCATTTCATAACTGTGCCACCTTTTGGATGGATTAATGTAGCACACAATCATGGTGTAAAAGTTCTTGGTACTATAATTACAGAAAGAGAAGGTATCTGGGATGTTATACTTGAATCTCAGGAAAAAGTAAGATGGTTCGCAGATGCACTAATACTTGTTGCAAAATTTTATAAGTTTGACGGCTGGTTATTAAATGTTGAAAATACCATTAGTAGTGAGCAAGTTAATAATTTAATTTATTTCGTAAAATATCTGACAGAAAATATTCATGAAGCAATTAGAAATTCTGAAATTATATGGTATGATAGCGTAACCAATGAAGGAAAATTAAATTGGCAAAATGAGCTTAATAGTAAAAACATGTAAGCTTATTACATTCTTATACTTTTACAATTGTTTCTGTTTGTAAATCTTATTTAATGTTATAAATACAATATTTCAGAGATTTCTTTTTAAACTGTGATGGCATTTACTTGAATTATAACTGGACGAAATCAAAATTGGAAAACAGTGTGGCACTCGCAAAAAATCACAACAGAGATATTCATGATATTTATGTAGGACTTGATATTTGGGGAAGAGGTTGTCCTGGTGGCGGTGGATTTAATTCAACATATGTAATTACAATATTACTTATTTTATTGTAGCATATATTCATTTAATATTTCATTAAACCATTATGATCTACAGGCTTTACAAAAAATACGACACGAAGGACTTTCTGTTGCGATTTTTGGTCCAGGTTGGACTCACGAATTTTTCGGATTTCAGACATTCCAAGAAATAGAAGATCTATTTTGGGCACAGTTGTTTCCTTATTTATATGTTCATGTACCTATCTATGAAGACGAAGTATTCAAAACATCATTTTGCCGTGGCAGTGGCAGCTTGTATTATCGCTGCGGTCAGGTATATTAAATATCTCACATTATTTTTAACAAACTGAATTTATTACATGAATATATCATAACTGAAATGCACATATTTTACGCAGCCACTATATGAACAGGAAGGAAGAAATTTTATATACAAATCATTTTACAATTTATCCCTGCAAAATCCACAAATTTCAGTACCTATACCGCACATGAAATTTACATCCTCTCCTCAACTTCCAGAACCGAAAAGTGAAAACGATCGAAATGAGTGTTCAAAAGGACCGATACAATATGTTTATGAAACGAGGAAGAATGTTATTCGAGTATTAGAAAATGTTGTAAATATTGAAAATAAAATGCCAATGCTACATGTAAATAGCTTCGAATTTTCTAGCCAGTTTTCTTTCGAAGGTGGTGGTTGCATAAAATTAACTACAAATGATCTTACGTCATATCACAGGTGAGGGAGTTCTATATTTTATAATTAAATTTATGATAATTCGCACAATTGTATTTTTTATATTAACTATGTGTTTAAATTCATTTACAGACTATTTCTCGTTCACATCGAATTTCAACAAGACATTGTAGCAATCATTGCTTATAAAGAAATGGAGTCATCCATAGCAAACGCAAGTCAACACGAACCAATACTAGTTCTCGGCAATAATACCGGCATAAAATCCATCTTTCATTATAAATCAAAGGATTTGGTTTCAAACTGGAAAGAATGGTAAGTCTACAAAATATAAATTGGAATATTTGCAACATAAAAAACAAAAAATAATTAAAACTAAAAAACATTTTATTAGAAGAATAAAATAATTGTAGGGATATGTAATGTCATTGCATTATATTAAATATTTATATAGCATGAGTTATGATTATACTCTGAATAAATGTATCTCACACACATATATTTTTCTTATTTAGAAAGCAGGTATATATATATATATACACTTGTAATTGATAATTTTTAAACATTTGTCCCTACAATTTTCTAAGAACATAGCGTAATAAATGCAATTGGTTACATGTTACAAACGGATTAATTACAGTTAGCAATAGTAACTACCATTAATTGCTTCTGTTCAATATAAGGAATGTGTTACAATTACATGATTCTTGGGAGTATATAACTTTAAGAATATTTTTCATTGTGCTATGCTCTTGGGATCTGCCATTTCAAAGTACGATAAACTAGAGCTCGAGCTTAAGTTCTTAGAACTACGACGTGAGACACAAAATACAGTTTCTAACATCTAAGTTAACAAAACGAAATTTTCGAATGAAAGTATATTGCATTACGTAAAATTCTTAAATATTTACAAGACTTTTAATTTTCATATTTTAAGAATTTATATAACAGTAAATTAAAAGCATCTATTTCAATGTTGAAAATTAAGCAAATTACATCAAAGAAAATTAGTTTTATAAAGAAAATTAATTGATAGTTAATAAATTATGATCTTATGTTGGACTGTTAGCTTCAATTTCTTCCTATAAAAGGTTCCATTTGGTTCTTTTAACAAGGATAGTTTAGGTATTATCTTAAATTTCAAATCTTAAACGGAGATATATCAAACCTTTAGTTTGAAAATTAATTTGAAGTTTTTAAAAGGTATCTTTAAGTTTATAATCTTTTTTAACTGTTGCATAAATGCAAAAAGATATTGTATTTAAACGACAATTTAAATTGAAAAATTTTCACACAGGAGAATATTAACAACAATTTTACTATTAATTCCATGTAAAAAAAGAAGTAAACAACATTCAAATTATTGATTTATGTAAACTTATTTTTATTCGTTTCGTGAAATTACATGAACTTTTCTAAATTCCATAAAATAAAAATCTTTTTCAATGGAAAAACATTTTAACAAAAGAAGGAACTTCAACATTATAAAAAATAGGAAAAAAGGAAAAGTCTCTTAGATTTAAGGTATACACAAAAATTTTGTATGTTCCCGCTTTTTTCAACAAAATTACACAGTACATAATTTCCTATCCCAGAATGAAAAATCTAGAAATGCCAATATAGTCTGATGTGTGATCTCGAAATTCTAAAAGCGTCGAAGAAGTCATGTTTGTATTAACGTTCGTAATCCCATATTCTTTCTATTTAACATGAAATTTTCCTTTTTGTTATCAGCGTTTATCTGACGAACATGAGGACTGTGAACGAAATTGGTATATCTTTCGCGAGGAGTAACATCTGCTATCTGGGAGAGGTCATCCTCAAACAAAAGCAGCAACACCTGAACGGTAAGTCTGCTTCTCGTACTTTATACTGTCGCTTGCATTTCGCGTTCCCTCGAGAAATGTACATAGCAGGTGGATTGCGTCACAGTAAAAGTGTATTGCCAGAGGACGAGGGTTTCGACCGTGTAAAAACCGTTCTCCGACGATCAGACCCGGCTACATACACCTTTTCATCTTTGAGAACCACTTTAGTGAAAGGAATACCAACGTTTCACCATAGAATGTCTATCCAACATATCTTATCGCTCGATATTTCATGGGTCGGCTTCGCGATTATACGATAAGCCCATTTCTCATTGGTCGACCCTACGGTATTAGATGGAGATCGCCAAGCTAATCTTTGTCATTTTTCCTTCTGTCTCTTCTTCTTTTTTTGTTTATTCATGCACAGGCGCCCGAAAGCATTTGAACAGTTTTGTACATATTTTTTAATATTATATATTATGTGTATTGTACGAAACATTTTGAAATTCCGTTAACACTGTTATGAGATTCGATTATTATGATTATATTGGTGAAGTTTGAAGCGAATCTGAAAAAATATATAAAAATTACAAGATACCTAGTACAAGTATACATATATTTTGTACAGATCACAAGAATACTTAAGCAAGAAATTATTTATTACTAGATTCTGGATTTTTATGCAAATTGATATTTTTGGGAATGTCATTAAAAAAAGTAGAATTTATATAGAAAATTGTGTAATTATTTAGAAAGCTGCTGCTTTTTTGATTTCCATAATTTTTTCATATGTTGTAGAAATCAACATTTTTAACAACTTTTTTTGCACTTTATTGCCGGACTCTTGTAGTTTTTACAAGATATGTGCAAAAAAACTGTTGGTACCACTACAGTGAATTCTGCCTATGGTTAGGTGTTCATGATAGCGTATGCGTTACTGTCGGCCTGATAAAATGATACCTAATTCAAACATATACATATAAACTGTAAACAAAAGATAAGAATTAGGTTTGGGTTAGCCGTTATTTTATTGGATTAGGCTTCACAGCTGTCGACAATCAGCATCAGCGTACAATAGGCAGAATTCACTGTAATGGTACCGACAGATTTTTGCAAATATCTCGGATATTAAGATTGAGCAATGGTTACACGTACAGTGTTTAGAATCACGCGGCCGACAACATATTAAAAAAGCATAAAAATTCAAGACGGCGGCAACTTTCTAAATAATTACCAAGAATTGTTTTAATTATCAAGTATTATGGAACACACTATATATCGAATATTTCACGTATTTTTTATACCATGTGAATTCTGTGCAATTTCTTACTTTCAAATTTCCTATAAATGCACGAAAATCCGCAGTCTATTCATTACATTAGTAAATCGTAATATTTAACGGGATCATAGTTAGCAATATTTATGTGTTTAAGACCATTATTCATAATGTATACTAAGTTTTTATTCAAATGTTTGCAATAAGTATCCTGTAATTTGTATATAGATTTTTAGATTGGTTTTATATTTTTACCATTATAATCATGACAGTCGTATTTTATTAGAGTGCTAACGCAATTTCAAAATATTTTATGTGACTATTTTATATGATATGGTCTTATGATTTTTCTATTTAAATACTTCCTTTAACCGGTATTGTATCTTTCACACTTTTTCGTGATTTAAATTTGTGCTTAATTTGCAACTTCATGTTTGCTACAGTTTAACTCGTTCGACTGTTATTTTTCCGATACAAGGGTACCTGCATTCCGCGGCGGTAATTTATTTGACGGAAAGACGAAAAATGTCTGTATGCCTTCTTATATGGAGAACGAACGGGGCCGCATGAACGAGGTCGCGACACCATAACTTCCACTACTTTTTTCATTCATTAGTCGCATTTCATAAATTGTATGCTGGATACGATTGACTTCGATTCATCATTTTCGATTGACACGTTAACGCAGAGATATACTAAGATGCTGGCGGTAAATCGATGACCCGGACTTTCTTTTTTCTTTAATTTCATTCATGGTATTTTATCTTTTTGTAATTTACATAATGTTGCATGATGGTACTGATTTCTATTGTTTCCTGTTTGCGTAATGTGGACTATTGGTAACTCACAGTGATACTGCTATTACATTTCCTTAACGCACACAGTGTATAATAATTTGCAAAATGTAAATTCTTTGTGATAATTCGACTTTAAAAGTATTGAATTATTCAGCACGTAGGCATAGAAAACTCTCAATGAATTGCCGATATATTAAATTTTGTAGGATGTTATGTTCTATGAAACTGATGGATAAAGCCATAAAAGTAAATTAAATGTCCGCATTTATTTCTAACGATGGAAAACTAATAGTTCAGCAAATGTACTAGAGTTATATAAACATTAAATTAAAATGCTAATTTATTATTTGTAGGAATTTATCACGTAATATCTCTTTTAATAATTTGCAACAGTAAATCAGTATAATTGCTATTATATATTGTAAATTATACTAGATATCATACAATTATATTAGAAATTATATTAGAGAAAGAACGAAGCCTTGTTTAAACAAAATTTATTCTTTATTGTCAATATATCCGTTTTTGATTTATTATTTATTTCTTTTATGGAGAATTATCATTTGTGAAATATCTTGTATTCGTGCAAAATAATTTGCTAATTGATCAAAGTAAAGTTATATTTTATTATTATATCAGTAGCTCACTAAAGTATTTACATGCTTACCATAGAACATTTTCATGAATCTATTATGTACTTCGTACGAAAATTTTTGGTATTTTATTAGCACTATAATGAAACATGTTGTCAAGATTATAATATTAGAATTTAAAACTAATGTGGAAATGTGTATAAAAGTTACAAGGCAATTATTGCAAATTAGTGCGAAGAATGAATAGTTGCTTTAAACATAATTAGTGCTAAAGATGGTCCCACTAAATATTAATATTTATTGAAATAACAGAAAAGTGACTATCTAAATAATTTTCTGATCTTTGTAGAGTTTAATTCATATTTTAGTTTAAACGATTTTGGTCATGAATAATCATTACAAATGATTAACAAATTTTTGATTATCGGTAACCAAATATTCATGAGAAAATATGGTTATCGGTAACCAAAAAATATTTTCCATCAAAACCAAAAATAATTTCGGTCACCAACACTGATTATCTGTATAATCAAAAGATTTTTAATTATTTCTAATAGTTACTCGTAAGCAAGACACTAAAAAATTCATATGTCTTAATCATTTAATTTTCTAAGAAGTTTCATTAACATTTAGCGATTGCTGTTTTCCATTTAAACAAAAACTTAATCAATTATCACTACTCATAAAATTTTTAAAAATATCTATTATTTTTGGCTTGTGGTTAAAATACTTTCGCGAGCTATTGTGTAGCTCTAGATATATTTTTAACTAATAAATATGTATATTAATTGTGCCGAATAGAAAGTTCTCGGTGGGCTACTAATGACCCAAGCCTGTTTATATCATATTAGGTAACGTTCGCTTTAACCATACAAAAATTGTGTCAATATAACAATGTATTACCATACTACATGATCGCATAGTGATCGATAACTTTGCGACTGACAAGTTGCGCGGTTTAAAATTCATGTCACATTGTATTACAAATCTTGACAATGCACAACACCCACTTCGAAACGAACGGTAAGTTGTAAGGAGGACAATCTGGTTGGCATTATTCGCGAGTATAGGTGTCGATGACACGCGAAATATCCGCAATTGTGGGATGTAGCACGTTCCACGTGTCCCATTTCAATTTCATATTTGTCAGAAATCTTCTTACGACTCGTTGGCGTTACGAAACTTAATCCACGTTTATATCAATAATACGTAACTTTTTCAATTTTTCTCGCGACTTTTTTTTATTAAATTCCTTTAAGCTTTCCTTATGGTTGATTATGTTATTTAGGTCAGGAAGCAACACCCTGATAAAGTTCTATATTCGCAAGAAATTAAAATTCGAGATTTGCTGAAGTGGAGGAAGAATTTAAAGCGTGCGCTACTTGAAATATCAGCGAACTGATTTTAGAACCGGACAATTCTTGCAATATTTGTTGTAGATATTTACATTATTTAGAAAATGTTATCAGGATAACATTTTTGATTCAAATTTTATTTCTGGGGGTTATGAGCCTTATTTTCATAAAAAAACGGAAATATTTACATATATGTGTATACTTGTTTATGTATGTAGAAATATTATATATATATCTATAATAATTATAGAATTTTGAACAGTCGTAATGTCGTGAAAAAAGTATCATCAGCAATTTGTGCGCGTATATTTCACTTTGTTATTCCTGTTAAATTAAATTACATCTTCGAGTAAATTTCAAGGATAAGAAGCTTTCCCTTTAACCCCTTAACCTACGATTTACGTTCGAGAATTTGCTTTTTGTTCGATCATCTACCAGGGGCTATGCCCGTAGTTGTAGGTTAAAGGGTTAAGATATAGTACCTATAAGGTAGGTACTTACACAGATTGTTGTACAACTTTTTTTCTTTAAATTTATTTACTTAACTCTTTCGTCTCTATGGCTGAAATATTTAAAAAATGGTCGGGACAATATTCCTCGTGCGACATTGTGGAGGAGATATTTCGGGTAACTTTTTATCAAAACGATGCAAAACGTGTAAATTGGATTGCCGTATTTGTCTTCGATCGTTCATCTACTTCCAACTTGAAAAACTAGATATTCTTTATTTCCCCGAGAACTGTTGTATTAAGGAAATTGATTGGAGATGATCGTTTGCTTGATTTTAAAATATAACAATTTTAACACTAGGTTTACGGACATTTCGAATGCGTCAAATGGACACGTATAGATATAGGTATACCACATAGAAAGCTTCAAAACTAGTGTTTATTCGACCATTTGCGGAGAGACGCGATCGTGAGAAAGCACGTCAACGGGAGTCGTAAATTCCCGTTACGATTAGATAATCGACGCCACGAACTCATCGATCCCTTGATTTTTGTTACGATAATAGGGGTGGTTCAATTGAGTTTACACCGAATTAGCAGGTATAAATTAATGTTTATTCCAACAACTTTGTAAAGAAGATAATTACACTGAAGCGTATGTATAAGTTAAGTAAGTGATTGATTTAAGGGTAGAAACCCGGCAATACACGTTGACTATTCTAACGATGAAGAATAAGTAAGGTAAAGTGACGATGCTGTGTCGGAGGAAAGCTAGTGATGGGTGTGTCTAACGCAAGGGATCATTGGATTTGTTGATGACAATTTTGGTTAGGAAAGTGAGGGCAGTAGACATTGCTTCTGATTGGATAAAAGAAGATTGTTGGACTAGGAAGCGTCTTAGCCGCCCTCGATAGAAAGTTGCTAGTGTGAAGTATCATACGTGAGAAAAACCAACTTTCCCATGCCTTCCCGTAGTAAACAATAAGCTTTAGAACCGATCGAGTAAAGAGATGTTTGTTCGGTCTGAAGGACTTTAGCTAGAAAATTCCTGAGATCTATGATAGGTCCTTAAGACTATTGAGGGTACGACGTAACAACTAGAAAGCTTTGAAAATAAATGAATTTCGATATACATTTATCTTGTTAGATGGATAAAAGAAAAATGTAAACGGCTCGTGTAATTTTCCGCATGAAATTCGAAATACGTCAAAATGACGTCTCCCGTAAACCTAGTGTTACTATCACTGTATACTATGAGCTACTAAGGTTACAAGCGTTTATGTGTTCCAATGTAAGTATGTGTGTATAAGTGTTTGATTGTACCGAACTGTTCGAGTATAGGTTTAACTCTGATTTCGTTCGAGTCCATCTGAACTTGGTTTGTACAGGATGCGCATTGATTGGCTGCCGTGTACACTGCTAATTTTCCAAACAACGGCATTTTGAGTATCGCGGCGACACTTGCGCTCTAGTCGCACCCTTTCTTGGTGACGATGGTCTAATACCTGAACGTATAATAGGTGGAAATATTATCGTAAAGTTGGACAGTGGTTAAAATTTGCAACCTTCGATAAAAGCATTAAGTAAAGTCACCGATTAGATGAAAACCTGGAATAAAACCTCGAATGCTGTATAGCGCATTTTGATCAAACTTGAATTAGTAGATCATTTCAGAACACAGATTGCAGATATTTCGTCAGAAGCCGATGTAATGTTGAATAAAAGAAGCACGTTACGTGTTTGGAACTTATGAAACAGTATAACGCGGTAACTTCACCAAAATTCTAAATAGACCTTTATTCTAGATTTCCATTCAATTGATCTAACCATAGCTGAGGTCGTACGCATTCCACACACATACGGACACTTACGTCAGTTTTTTGAAATCAGTTCCTATCATTGTTACCTGTTCAACAATGAGTCATAAAATTGGAGTTTTCAGAATATAGATTAGAAGTAAGTTACAACTGTTCCCTTTTACAAGGATACGATCTTTTTAGAAATCTCACTACAAACGAAGAGCTGATTCTGGACGAGGGTCTAGATATTAATTGTTGCAATCGGAAGTTGTAAACTTTGACCACTAACCGATGTTATGACATCTCCATATCACTACCGCATATTATATATGAGATATTCGCTTTTTCCGCAAGACCGCGGGATTTCCGCCACGTCATTTGGATAACGAGTTGTTATTACGAAGTATTACTTAATTAGCTTTCGGAAATATCGAATTTATTATACGTCTACGGCTATTGAGCACGAGGGAAATTAAAAGCCTTTAGAAGGAAAGTTACTATTGATATACTAAATTCTTTTTTTTTTTTTATTTAGGATTAGATATTCAAACTTGTCTTGCAGGTTTATACAGCTCTAAAAAATAGTCTTCCTTTGCTATCAAATTATAAGTTTTGTCCGGAACATAAATAATTATAGTTTTGTTAGTCAAAGTTTGATCTTTCCTTTACACGAAACGACATGAATTTGTGTATATTTAAAATTGCGAAAGTAAATTGTCTCGTCTAAAACAATATTTTAGTGCATTAAATATAAATTTTATTAAAAGTTATAGAACAATTTTAATTTTTTATAAAAATGAAATTTAGTATATTCTGCATTGTACTGCTGTATACACCGGTTAATAGCTAAATATTATATGAATATCATTTTCAATTGAGGATTGGATATGTGTATCAATATTTTGAACATAAAAATTGTTTTATTTAGGTATAAAGTAAAATAAAATGGTAACTGCAGAAACCTAGAGTTAGTAATTAAAAGAATGAATGCCACTATGAGTAGTAATGATTAATTCTAATGAATTAGA